CTGTGATCATCTGATGATATGACATTCATGGTTTAACTTTTGTTCTTGTTGTTTTTGTTGTTGTTCTTATTGTTACGGAACAATGACAACACAATTCTGTCAATTTGCAAAAAATTGTTTACTGTTTGGATAATTTATTAAGACGTAGCAACAGGTTTACTGGTTTAATTAATATACTGGTAATTGTAAATACAAGTTGATCATCATGTTGAACATGTATATGCATATATATTCATTTCCAAAAAAATTGGTGCAGTGCATATTTAACAGGATGAACCAACAGAATTATCACTGTACTGTTATAACGTGTTTACTACAATGTCAACAGGCAATAGCAATTCCATTCAGCAATTCAGCAAGAAAACAATTTGCCATGGGTCGCTATAGATACTTTCAAAAAGATTATATAACAATTTCTGTCATAAAGAAAGATGAGCCTACATTAAATTCAGGTGCTAGTTAATCGAAGTATAATAACTAGTTTATGTCAATGTTATTGGATACTAATAATTGCTTTCTGCCAATAAACAAGAAATCACTTGGTAATGTGTCCCTAAGTGAATTTTTAATACATTATAACTAGGTTACATTGTACAATTATGTACTATTATTATTACAGTGAAATAACTAGTTTATTATAATGGTATAGGAACTCACCCAGCGCAATGAGGCCGAAAAGGAGTCCGAGCAGAAGCAGGAAAAGGAGGAGGAACCCCAAGAGCCACTTCCACCACGAGCAACAGGCGTCAAAGCAGCAACACCAGCCGCCTCCGCAGACGCCGCCCTTCTTGCGAAGCTCTGCGGACGATGCCCACGGTTAATTGAAATAAAGCTCGAAAACCTCTTAAGTCAAGATACGACTGCATAGGCAGAAAAGAGAACCAAATGACATACGTGCGTGCGTGCCTTTGTCTTTCATTAAAACTCCAGATGATCCGTCTGGTGGATTCACACATTTTTAGCTTTAGGAACGAATTCAGAAATACTGTTGTGGGTTTAGACTCACAGTAAGCATTTCCTGTCCCTGCCTTGAGCTGAGCTCCTTCACCATAGGTTGTGATGAGCTTCTCCTTCTGGATGGAGTCGCCCGAGAGGGAACCTGAAACATCACAGCCCGTCGCTTGCCGACAGTTTGTTCCACCAACATTTGACTGTGCAAAGGTGTGCCTCACCTCCTCCTGTAGTCAGAGTGAACTGCTTGCCGCTGTCTTTTGCCAAAATCAGTGTTTCTGTGTCCCTGGCATTGTCCTTGTCTGAATTAACAAACATATAGTCCTTGTACGCATCGCCATTTTGGGATCGAGTGGCTGGAGAGCACATAAACGATGTCACAGATTGCAGTGTGGAATCCCTCCAATGGGAGGCCTCTGATGAGAATTCTCACTTTGACAGAAAATGAACTAGATCCTTCAACCAAATTCATGTAGCATTTCTGCTTTGTAGATCTTAGGATTTGAATTCATGTGTAATAACTATTTTATGACAATGTAATGACACAGTAATATAATTCGGCATTTTGCGGCTTTACAGTAAGATGAATATGTTTGGACGGTTGAAACATTTCAATCCACTCGGGGGCAGCAAAGTAGCTTACTTGAAGAGACACCAGCTCCAACTAC